GAAAGAGAGCAGTAAACTCACCTTATTTGTTGGATAACTCAGCTCATATCTTGGTTCTTCAAATTCTAGGTTTTACCTCCAATTAGAACTTGAAAGCGAGAGAAAATCAATTAGGGTTTGTGGAAAATATTTTGGAGGATTCTTTGCAGAGCTTATGTCTGGTTATTATGCTCTATTTTAAGTCTAATATATGAAGAAAATAGGCCCTTAAAAGGCCTCTTTGGACGACCCGAAATGGCCCATTTTTGGGCTTTCATTTAAGCAAGTAGGTGACACACCTACTTGTCACCTAGCAGCTTGCGCAGTATCGCAAAAATGCACATATCTCTCTACTCCGATGTCGTATTGACAAATGGTTTAATGCGTTGGAAAATAGACTCATAGATCTTTAATTTGATGTGTGGAACACACCATAACTCTAAGTATATTGGGAGAAAATTGCAGTTACATTTGACCCAAAGTTTCAGTAAAACTTATGAGTGTAACTTGTGATGACTTTCATCGACTTTTGTTCCACAACTCGCTTGACATTAAAACATAACACACGGATGTCATACGACTAATATAAATCATAACATAATCTCCTTATCATGTTAATCACCCTAGTCTCACCCCAAAGGTACATGTTATAACATTCCCAACTTGTCGACTTTCGACGAAACATTATTTTATTTAATTGCTTTAGCTTCTGAACTGTCCAACCCTCTTTGTACTTGTTGTTCATGATCTTCAATATTTGTAACCTCAGAGGTAACATGATTAACTTACTTTATATACTTTTAAATATTATCTCATTTTTGGTCCTACAGTAGTTTGCTTACGACGCATTTTTACGTACGAAAATATAGGGTGTAACAACCAAGTTCTCCATATACAAAAAAAATGGAAGCAAGGTAAGTTAAAATTACCATAATATTTGGTCTTCCACCCGTATTTAAGGGCAAGTCCTTTCCACAAACGAGTTTCGGGCATCGTTATGTCCAAGATCTTCTGAACCCACCAGTCCAAGCCTTCCACCACCGGTGGGATCCATCGAGTTGCTGAGACATGCGGAGGGTGAAGAGTTGATACGGCCATAGAAAAATATTTAGTGAAAGAAAATATATTAACTAAAGATCTTACGAGTGCGGTTTCAAGCGGCCGGAAAGGATAAAGCCGTTGTCGGAATGATATTATTGGTGGCAACTGCAACATACCGTTCCGTCCACCCACAATCGTTATCATCATCCATGCTAGTCAACAGAGCATAGTGAGCACGTTTGCAGAGGTTTATCATACCCTCACAGAAAATTTTGGGAGAGTAGAGATTCATCATACGAGCTAATGTTAGCTCTTCTCCAGTATACATGCATAAGCATCGAAGGCAGGCAACCGTCCTCCACACTGAAGGACTTACCTATGCCAAACACACGTGGTAGCGAAGGCAAATCTCCGCAATTACAGAATCAAGCTCTCCACTCAAAGAAAACGCACCCAAAGTATAGGGATATGTGTAAAAGTATGTAAAATATTCCTTGGGAAGGGTCACTCGCTCCGATAGATCAGGAGCAATAATATCCAACTCATGGCAACAGTAATATTCCTTCACAACATGAATACTGGAAGGACGAATGGAAGAATGGTACCTACTAACAGCCCATGTACAAGGGTTAGAAGTAGGAAATTTCTCTTCAAAGTCCTTTGCGGTCTGAGTCTTCTTGGGATGATGGAACCCACCGTTGGAGGAGCAGAGTTCTCGGCTTTATTCTTGTTCTTTGAAGAACCGACACGCTTGGAGGAAGAAGCCATTGAATAAGAAGAAGGGAGAGGTTTTTGTTTGAAGAGAATTAGAGAAATAATAGAGAACAAAGATGCAAATTAGAAGTTCGAAAAATTATGAAGTGCAAAGAAAAAAAATGATGCGTATAAGTAAAATTTTGGCAGCTAAATTCATGGCCATGATAACCTCGATAATCGAAAAAAGTTGTGCTGAATCGTGGGATGACGCGTGTTCGGGACATTAAATGCGGAGAGACGTGTGTCTAATCAACCGTCAGAAGCCTTCAAAGGGAGTTATAGTAATTCCCGCCAAAAGAGTGTTTCTACCAACTTTCCGGTAACACAAAGTTATGTCACGAGAAAGCAGGGGGACTATCTGTATATGGTGAAATATGATATAACACGTGGTCATCTAAAGAAAGGACACGTGGAACCCAAGACGAGGATGGCCGAAGACCGAACGCAGCCATTCCACTTGTCACCGGAAGGGATAACGTTCATAAATATGTATTAAATGCTCTGCGCCCGATAGCATTTAATAAGAAATATTCTGCGGCATTAAGAGCGACGACCCGTTACAGAGAATTTGGCATTTATGTTCACTGTTACATCTTCATCAATGATCCTCACAATTGACACTAAAGGAGGACACGATCCTAGGACCTCCTTCCCTAGACTTAGCTATAAATAGTGAGCCCAGTTATCATTGTAGGGGACATGAATTTTCTGCCTAAACTTACACTATATTTTATACAAAGCTTAATACAATCTTACTTTCCCGCTTTTTGATCTCATCATTGCTGTGCCCGGAAACCTTATTTCCGGAACTGTCATCTCTGATATTTTATCTACATTTTAAGGTTAAGTATTGTTCATTTTTTCAATTATTGCATTATTTCAGAATCAAATTAGTTCACTTGTCTAGAAACCACATATAAATTCAACTGTACCGTTTTACGGGGTAAACAATGCCTTTGTTGCTTTTACTCTCAAGTGATGTCGATGACTTTAGTTCTTGCCTCAACCAACTTGCACAAAATTTTAGGTCCGCCACTGATTGCAGGCCCCCCTTTTGCCTAATTTGTTAATATTTTATATTACTGGTAATGAATTTTGACTCTAGACTAGTCTAACCCGCCTTCAAACTTCGTCAAAATTTGTATAATGCCTCATCTATATGTTTTCAACAAATCGCAACAATACCCATTGAATATTTTTTTTGCCTATTTTTTTGAATGTTGTATATCGCTGGTAAAGTTTTTAGCTATTTTGGTAGCATGACTAAAATAAATAGTTATTGTTAAGTAGTATTTTTTTTGGTACATTCCCGTAAGATTACCAAAGAATTACTTCTAAAAATAAACTGATTTTAGAAGCTCGTAAAACTTATGTCAGCATAATAAACTTTCGGTGATAGAGAAACCTATAGTTTATAATATTAGAATAAGCTTAAATCAAACGACATGGGCATGGATATTCACGTAATTGAGACGACGTAATATTATCTGGTCTAACTTACAACTTGTTTGGATGGTTGTTACCTATTGTATCATATCGCATTGTTACTTTAAATATAATATTTATTTTAATTGTTACTTAAATTTTATTGTATCGTATCGTTAAATCTGCCGTTACGTAACAATGAAAAGTGCCACTTTGTATAATGACGGATTTGGTGTGGCGGCACTGTTACCTTAATTTTTTCTCTTATCTTGCCTTTTCTTATTATTAAATAATCATATTTTATCATTTATTCTACTTTTTTATATAATATTTCTACTTCGTATCCTATTTTTTCTTAGAAATATTACAATTCTATCCTTCATATTGTTGGTGCGTGACATAAGGAAACGATGACAAACGATACAATTTATTCAAACGTTGTATTCATCAAACAATATAATACGATACATTATGAAACGAGATGTAACAACCATCCAAACAAGCTGTTAAGAAATTTTTTTTTCAAAAACTAATCCAAACACATTTTTTGTTTTTTCAAAATTATTTATCCAAATACTACCTCAATATAAAAGGAGTGAGTATTAGTCTTTGGTCTAAGATTTATTTAATACTACTACACGGTAAAAATTGGAGTTTCATAACTCTATTGATATAATATTAAATAAGTAGAACTTTTTAATCATAAGTTTTGAGTCAAAAGATGAAGCAGAAAGCGAGGGACCAAGGAAAGGGAGTGGGGCTAAGTCCAATTTGTCTCTCTACTCAGTCTCACTTTCTGTCCTTTCCGAAATAGACAAGTGATTCATCCCTCTCAATCACTGGTCAGTATTACTTCCCACTCTCCACTGTATTTCAGTCTCTTTCTCAGAAACACAGAGTCACCTCTTCAATCACGCTACAAGGGAAGAAGAAAGGGACCCTTAATTAGATGAAACGTAAATGGAGTACGAAAGAATCGACAAGAGACATATACAGGTAATTAAACTTGACATTTTGAGCTTGAGAATCTTGCAGAATCAGTGGCAATGGAGTAGAGTACAAGCTTTAATGAGCTATGTACTACCATCTTTGATCTGGGTTGAAACCAATTTCTTTTACTTTTCTCTTTCCCCAATGTGGGTTTTAGTTTACAAGAAAAAAAGGGTAGAAAGAACGACGCTTTGACATTTCGTTTTCAACACAATTTGGGTTTTTACCCACTTTAATTATTGTTGGTTCTGCTTCTTCTCTTTTTGTGCTTTCTTTATTCTCCTTTTGTTTGAAGCAAAACAAATCAACCTTTGATCTATCAAATCTGCATATATTATATGAGCTATCACTTTCTTTGTGAACCCCATTTCTCATTTTAGCTTCTTTTGTCACATTTTGTTTGTTGTTATATAGCTGTCTCCTAGGAAGCTGAGGTCTATGCTACTGGGAGCAGAAAAGAAAAGAAGGGAAGAAATAGTAGAAGATCAAGAGCTTGAATCTGCTACTCTGTCCTTGAGATCCCAACTCCCTGAGATCCATGACTCTGGTATTTGTAATGCATTCACATTTTGTATACTATTTCAGTGAGATTTTTACTGTCCCATTATATGTGGTGGTGTTTGACTAAACATAGAGTTTAAGAAAGGAATGAAGATTTTTAAAATTTGTGGTCCAAGATAAGTCATAAATATTTGTCTGGTAACAAATCATCTCATTAAGGTAAGATGAGAAGTTTAAACTTAAATTGTTTCTAAATATAGAAACGTGTCATTTATTTTAGGACAGACTAAAAAGGAAAGTGTGCCACGTAATTGGACAGAGGGACTCATATTTAATCAAAAGAGCCTAAAGAAGTTGTGGGTTCTTCAAGCCTTCCAATTTCCAATGATAATACAGTTGCAAAGATAGGCATGGTCTGCTATTGGCTTGTTCTAATTTCGTTAGTATGAATGCAAGTACTTGTTTTTTGCTTACCAGGTTGTAATTTGGAGAAATGCAAAGATGTAAATGTTGTAAGTATTGTTCCTGAGAGCTCGACTTCCGTAGCAGTTGATACGCCAGCTTCCTTGGAGATGATGAATGACATGAGAATCAAAGATCAATCGTTGGTCAATTCAAGAATTAGATCTCAAGATGACAGTATTTTGGACTGTGATAGTGGGTTCGATAGTATTAGTACTATATCTCCACTCTTTGAATTTCAAAAGGCTGAGCGGGCTGCACAGAGAGTGCCCATAGCTCCTTTCTCAAAACCTGCCCCTTCTAAATGGGATGATGCGCAGAAATGGATAGCAAGCCCAACGTCTAACCGTCCAAGGACTGGGCAGAGCAGTCAAGTTGTTGGATCACGCAAGACTAGTCATTCTGGATATGGCTATAGACAACAACCTACAAAGGTTGTAATTGAGGTTCCTGATCAGCAATTGGTTCCTTATGAGGAGCCTGTCGACACAAAACAGATAGACTCAGGCCAACCGAAGGACAGTGGAGTTCAGAAGTTTGTGAGTTGGGAAGCTGAGCCGTACCCAATTGCTGAATCATATCCGAAGCCAGTGCTCATGATTGAAAATTCTATTGGACAATCAGCAAGTAAGACTAATTTTGACGTTCCATATCTATCACCCAACACCTTGCACTGTAGATTTAATGTTTTACCATAATTGGAAAAAATTCTATTTCCTCTTGATGAAATAGTGTACAAAAACAAGAAAAAGTGCTATTGCTAATTTATGTGTACTCTTTATATGGATATACTCATCGTTTCTAGTTTGTATTCTGATGTGTAAAGAAATTCGATTTAGAGGTTGCACAGAGATATTTAATAGTTGTCTCATATGACAAGCAATTTTTAATGCTTGTCTTCCTCCATACACTCCAAGACATTTCTTCTCTTAGTGGGATGATTGCACAGAGTATTGTGTTGACTAATAGTTTCTGAGAATATTAAAAATAAACATAGATTACTGAGGCACTGATAAAAAGAAATTGATACTTGAAAGCATTCAAATATTCTAGAATAACTCAAATCTTACTGAAAATGTAAAAGCCTATGATTTAGGTTCAAACAGAAGATTTAGTTGGCCACACGGCTGCATATTGCTAGGAGTGCAAGTGCACCTCTTTAAAGCTGCAAAGCTTTGCTTTTATTGTTTTGTTCTTTGATTGGTGATGTGTAACTTTCACTTTTACCTCATAAAAGAAAAGGAATATGTAACTTTCATTAATATACCACACACAGAGATTGTTGGGAGAGTTTTGCTTTTTGTTCTGGTTACATAGTTATATAAATAACCCTAGTCCCACATGGAATAGGAGTAGAATATGTATTTTATATAGTTATAAATAGGGTTATAGTAAAACACTTAATAGACTATCAATAATATTTTTTTCCCGTGCTTTCTCACATGGTATCAGAGCATACATGAGAGATTCATCACCGGGCAAAAATACCAGCAACTCCGGAAAGAAAAAAAAGGTCTCTGTGCAAATTCCGGTGGCTGTTCGGCGTCAATCCTTTTTCTGTTGGTGTTGTGCGAAAGCCAACATTACCACAAGGTTAAGCACCCTCTGGCGAGCAAACCCCAGCTAGAATCTCCGGCAACGGACGTCACACGTGCTCCCACGCGCCCTCAAAAGCCACAGTTCTGCCGGTACGTCTGCCCACGCGCTGGCGCGTGGAGGTGTTTCCGGCCACTTTCCGGCAAAACTTCTTGAGGACAGTTTGGTCGCGAGGTATTTCCGAGCTTACCCATCAAGGTTACACCAAATTTCGACAACTTTTTATTTTCCGGCGAGTGAACAGTGTTTTCCTAAAAAAAGGGAATAAGTCTCCCGCTTAACTTGTTCAAGAATTTGAGAAATCGGTTGTAGCAAAATGGGATTCAATACTAAGAATAGTTGGATGGTTTCTCTACCGGATTATATTGAGTTTCTTCAGACCAAAGCATGTTAACATACATCTTCAGAGATAGCTTCCGTAACAGGTAGTAGCGTGACTTGTGTCTCCCAATCTTCAACCTTCGAGTCTTGGGTCATCGATTCATGTGCATCTGATCACATTTCTGGCAATAAATCTCTTTTCATTATTATTTCATGCTCTCAATCTCTCCCAACAGTCACAATGGCCAACGGGTCTCAAACTGTTGCAACTGGAATAGGTTCTTCCTTCCTTACCTTTAGATTCAGTTCTTTATGTTCCCGGTAGTCCTTTTAATCTCATAGTCGTTAATCGCTTAGCCAAGTCACTTAAATGCTCTGTTCTATTTCTTGATGGCCTTGTTTTGATACATACGGGGCGGATCATTGGTTCCCGACGTGAATCAAATGGATTTTATTACCTTATCCTTGCAAAATCACATGGACTAACATCTTGTCTTCCTTCAACAATTTGTCATGTTACTGATTCACCAGATTTATTACATAAACGGTTGGGACATCCCAATTTAGCAAAACTTCAGAAAATGGTACCTAGTTTATCTCACCTGTCCACTCTAGAGTGTGAGTCATGTCAGTTCGGTAAGCATACTCGCTCTAATTTCCCTCGGCGTCGTGATAATCGAGCAGAGTCACCTTTCACTTTAGTCCATTTAGATGTTTGGGGTTCTAGTCGGGTCAGTTCTACCTTGAGATTCCGCTACTTTGTCAGTTTCATTGATGATTATTCCAGGTGCACTTGAATATTTTTGATGAAAAATCGATCTGAGTTGTTTTCTATTTTCTAGACCTTCCACGCTGAAATTCAAAATCAATTTGGGGTTTCTATCCACACATTTCGTAGTGATAATGCCCTAGAGTATTTGTCTTCCCCATTTCAGCAGTTTATGAACTCATGGAATCATTCATCAAACATCTTGTCCGTACACATCTCAACAAAATGGGGTAGCTGAAAGAAAGAACAGACATCTCATTGAAACTGCTCGTACCCTACTTATACAATCTCATCTTCCGTTGTGTTTTTGGGGGATGCAGTTCTCATATCGTGTTATCTTATTAATCGTATGCTATCCTCGGCTATCCAGAATCAAGTTTCATTCTCTGTCTTGTTTTCCCATTCACTTTTATTCTCTCTTCCACCCCGTGTCTTTGGGAGCACATGTTTTGTTCATAACCTTACTCCGGGAAAAGATAAGTCAGCTCCTCGTGCTCTTAGTGCATATTTATGGGTTACTCGTGAATGTAAAAGGGATATCGATACTATTTACCTGACCTCCAGCAGTACCTTATGTCTGCCGATGTTACCTTCTTTGAAACCTAGTCATACTTCACAGGTCCAGGCGATCACTTAGATATTTCTGAGGTGCTATCAGTTCCATCTTTTGGAGATTCAGTCACTATCTCCCCTTCATCTTCCTCCATAACTCCAGCTCCACCACGTACAACTCAAGTTCCAGCTCCACCACCTGCAACCCCATTTCATGCTCCACCACCTATAGCTCCAGTTCCATCACCTAGTCCAGTTCAACCTTCTACAGCTCCACCACTCCTGACTTATCATCGTCGTCCACGCCCAGCATCAGGCCCAGCCGATTCACGTCCTGCACCTGACCCTGCTCTTACTGTGGACTCATCTCCTCCTAGTCCACCGATTGCATTTCAGAAAGGTATACGGTCCACACTTAATCTTAATCCCCTGTCGGTTCAAGTTATCATCTTCTGTCATCACCCCATTATGCATTTGTATCATCTTTGTCCTCTATTTCCATCCTTGAGTCTGCAAGTGAAGCACTGTCTCATCCAGGATGGCGACATACTATGATTGGCGAGATGTCTGCTTTACATACGAGTGGTACTTGGGAGCTTGTTCCTCTTCCTTCAGATAAATCTACTGTTGGTTGTCATTGGGTGTATACAGTCAAAGTTGGTCCAGATGGTCAGGTTGATCGACTTAAGGCTCGTCTTGTTGCCAAAGGGTATACTCAGATATTTGGGCTCGATTACAGTGATACTTTCTTTTCCGTGGCTAAGATAGCATCAGTCAGCCTTTTTCTATCCATGGTTGTTGTTCGCCATTGGCCTCTCTATCTGTTGGACATTAATAATATTTTTTTCACCGTGACCTTGAGGATGAGGTTTATATGGAGCAACCACTTGGTTTTGTTGCTCAGGGGGAGTCCAGTGGCCTTGTATGTCGGTTGCGTCGGTCCCTCTATGGTCTAAAGTAGTCTCCTCGAGCCTGGTTTGGTAAGTTCAACACAATTATTTAGGAGTTTGGCATGATTCGTAGTGAAGCCGATCACTCTGTGTTTTATCGGCATTCTACTTCAATTCTCTGTATTTGTCTGGTGATTTATGTTGATGATATTGTTATTACTGGCAACGACCAAGATGGTATTGCTAAGTTGAAGCAACATCTCTTTCAGCACTTTCAGACTAAGAAACTGGGCAGATTGAAGTATCTTCTGGGTATTGAGGTCACTCAATCTAGCTCAGGTATTGTGATCTCACAACGGAAGTATGCCTTAGACATTCTTGAGGAGACAGGAAGCTGTAGACCTGTTGACACTCCTATGGATCCGCATTCTAAACTAAACTTCTGCCAGGACAGGGGAGCCGCTTAGCGATCCTGCAAGATATAGGCGGTTGGTTGGTAATTAAACTACCTCACAATGACTAGACCTGACATTTTCTTTCCTGTGAGTGTGGTGAGTCAGTTTATGGATTCTCCCTGTGATAGTCATTGGGATGCAGTTGTCCGCATTCTTCGGTACATAAAATTTGTTTCAGGCAATGGATTACTCTTTGAAGATCGAGGCCATGAGCAAATTGTTGGATACTCAGATGTTGACGGGACAGGATCACCTTGTGATAGGCGTTCTACGTTTGGATATTGTGTTTTAGTACGAGGTAATTTGGTGTCTTGGAAGAGCAAGAAACATAATGTGATTGCTCGATCTAGTGCAAAAGCAGAATATCGAGCAATGGTTGTGGCAACCTGCGAGCTAGTTTGGATCAAACATTTGCTTAAGGAGTTGAAATTTGGTAAAATCAACAAGATGGAACTTGTGTATGATAATCAAGCTACCTTTCATATTGCATCAAATCCGGTGTTCCATGAGAACTAAACACATTGAGATTAACTTTGTTTGAGAAAATATTTTTTCAGGAGATATTGTTACAAAGTTTGTGAAGTCGAATGATCAACTTGCAGATATTTTCACCAAGTCCCTCACTGGTCCTCGTATTAGTTACATATGTAACTAGCTCGGTACATATGATTTGTATGGACCGGTTTGACGGGGCGTGTTAGATAGTTATATAAATAACCCTAATCTCACATGGAATAGGAGTAGAATATGTATTGTATACAACAATAACAACAACCACCACCCAGTAGAATCTCACTAGTGGGGTTTGGGGAGGGTAGAATGTATGCAAACCTTACCCCTACCCCGGAAGGATAGAGAGGCTGTTTTCGGGAGACCCTCTGCTCAAAGACAGAATATGTATTGTATATAGTTATAAATAGGGCTATTGTAAAACACTTAATAGAATATCAATAATATTTTTCTCCCATGCTTTCTCACAGTTCTTATAGTCTTCACATTAGGCTGATACACACATATTTATTCATAGGCTCTTTACATTAGGCTAATATGTTTATTAAATAAACTCTATATCCCTTTTCTCGAAGTTTACCACTGTTCTCAACTCTGCATTGCACATGGTTAAGCCTATCTACCAATGTATTCAAGGAGTAATGAATTGTAAAAGGACAAGGTTTTTCGTTTAAGGAAAGTAGACAATATATTGGGCTGACTAAAAAAAAAAAAAAATGAGCAAGAGAATCTATTTGGAAGGCAGAGTACGTTATCATTTAGTCAAAGTCTTTGCATTAGATCCTCATCCTTTATGTTGCTAAAAAGTTCAAAGCTGCATGAATCATTCTTCATACTCAGTAATTGGACAATGAAAGTAACTTTTGGACCATTGGGTCCTGACTTATCTTTATGAGAATTAAAGGTGCTCATTTTCAAATTGATCTTCAATCTATATTTATTAAGTTAGCCAGCTCATTGATGGATGGGAAAATATGCCTTTTCTCCTTACTCCCGACTCCCATGAACTGCTAGTGGGGCAACCTTCCATGCCCATGGACTTCTGTTCCCCCCTTGTGAGCCAACTATGCAACGCCTCCGTCACTGTTCCAGGCATCACCCATTGCATCCCAAACAAGTTTAGGACCACCCTCCACAAATGATTAGCCATTTGACAATCCAATAGGAGATGATCTACATCTTCGCCCGAGCTTTTGCAACCAACATAGGTGATCCTCCTCTTTCTCAGATTTTTCGCTGTCAAAATCACTCCCCTTGCTGCCAACCAACACACCTTTCTTGGTACTTTAGGAATCCAAATAGAGTGATGAGGGAAAACACATTCCTCTCTCCCATAACCTCTTATAATAAGATTTAACAGTGAACAATCCATCTCTATTCTCTCGCCGTCTCCATACATCTGATATATTGTTCGGTGTACCCAGCCCATACAATAACTCGACCAAATTGTGATATTCTTCCATCTCCCGATCCCTTAGGTTCCTCCTGAATCTCAAATCCCAATGAACTACCCCCTCGTGAGATGTATGAATTTGTTGGACTGTCATCTCTCTTTGACATGATACTCGACATATCTTAGGAAAGACTTCCCTCAACTCGTTCTCCCCGCACCACTTATGCGCCGAGAAACTAATCCTGCTTTCATCTCCAATCCTAAAAGAAATATGTCCACTAAAGTCTTCCCAACCCTTCATTATACTCCTCCATAAACCACACCCAAACGGTACTGTGATGTTTCTGGTCCTCCAACTCCCTTCCATAATACCATATTTTTCCGCTATCACCCTCCTCCAAAATGCATTCTCCGCCATCCCAAATCTCCATATCCACTTCCCTAGCAAAGCTTTATTGAAAACCTTGAGATTATTCACCCCAAGTCCTCCCCATTCCTTTTCTATAAGACGAAACTACAAAATTTTGCATTAGGGGAATGCCAAGAGACTCTTGGGATAACCTAACAATTGTGGATGTGCTGGGGGCACTGAGGTCTTAGAAGTACACGATTGAATACTAAGTTCTACAACCTGAGAAACTTGCGGCGCTTCATGAATATAAAAAAGAATAAAAACTGTTATCTTATTCCTTAAGATAGGTAACGTTCGTTGAAAATTCTATTAAAAATGAGGCACCAACAGATAATGCCATGAAGTTTGCTATCCTTATAAACAATGATGTATGTCATTATTTTTTGACAGGAAAGATGTATGTCATTATTAGTGTTACCATTCTCAAAAGAAGAAAGAATAGAGATGTATGTCGTTACATGGATGACGATGTTCTTCTGTCTGATATTTTATCTTTGCTATCTTTCCTTTTTCATTCTTTCGTTATGTCAGCACATCAACTTTTGATGAATTTTCTATACCAACTTAGTCCTATAGGTTCTGGCTGCAGCTAGAATTGGATTTGGTATTCCTTTTTCACACTTGTGTGGATGTAACAGAGAAAGAGATTCATGACCTTATTCATGATTAGTAACAGTGACATTTCTATATTTCTTTCTTAAGGTTCAGCTGATTCTGTTGTTGATGAATTTCCTATACCAATTCCATTTTCTGGATTCTTTGTGAAACTAGGATTGGTGTGCTAAATTTTGAGATGTGACTTGCTCTCTACTGGATTACAGCTGATACATCTAAAATTTGAAGAATCTATTAGAGTCGAAATAAATTGGGGCTTGAGTAAGATCTTGAATCATGATTGCTTATAATGGAAGTTTCATGAGGCTTAGATATACTGATGTTCCTGTATGGGCACATGCTCAAAACAGAGAGTGGAAGATTTCTTATACACATGAGCATGCAAATAATTAAATTTATTTCTATACACCAACTATATAGAGAGAGATCATTAAAGTAGTATTTGAACAATTTGGATGAAAGTTATTATGAAATTCTTAAGATAACAAGGCAAAATTTTATTGTCTGTGTTGTCCTCCAAATCTATGACTGTGACTATGAAGTTGTTGAACTCTAAGGACCTTGTCTTTTCTTACCAAGAATTTTGCATGTCAAGGTCACAACACCTCAAAATCATCAGTCACAGTATGCTCTGTCTATTAATATGATGCCATTCCTAAAATGTACATCTGGCATTTGAGTCGTGATTGAAGCTAAAAGTAAGCTTAACTAATTATGAATATTAAAAAAAATATCCAAGAATATCATTTGACGATTGTGTTCATATTTTCTGTTGATAGCATTGATATGTTTAATTTGATAACGGATACAGATAAATTCAAATTAGCATGGAACTTAAGGTTTTTGGTGCCTTTACGTCTTACTCGATTCATAATCTTCTGCAATAAATTGTTGAAATCTGATGAACTTTTTGGCATACAATGAAAAATGATTGTATATTTTTGCAGTAAATCTGAGCCGTCATGATTCGTCTGTTTCTATCCATAGTGCAACCGTCATTCCCCAACCATCGACTGCTAGGTCAGTCTCAATGAGAGATATGGGCACAGAAATGACTCCAATTGCAAGCCAGGAACCTTCCAGAACAGGGACACCTGTGAGAGCAACACCACCAACTCGCAGCCCAACTTCTTCTCGGCCATCAACTCCAGGAGCTGCACCAGCTTCTTCTCCTTTAAATGATAATTTGGAGGCTCGCATAGATGACTTGACTGACCAGGAATTACAGATGAAAACTCGAAGAGAAATCATGGCACTTGGAACTAAACTTGGTAAGATGAATATAGCCGCTTGGGCTAGCAAGGATGGCGAGGATAGAAATGCGTCCAGCTTACTGAAAACTGATAAGCAAGAGCAACTAACTACAACTGTCACTGAGACACGTGCAGCTGCTTGGGAGGACGCAGAGAAAGCAAAGTACATGGCCAGGTAATACCTTCTTAATTTAGTTATTGAGCCTTTTGGTCATAGTTTAGAATGTAGCTACAAGTCATGCTAGCTTATTCTTGGACCAACTTGTTGCCCCATTAATGACATTGATCCTGTTATCTATTTTAAAAAAAAGATATTGCTATCTTATTCAACTCTGTAGTTATCCCTAAGATGCTCTTCATCCGCGGCCGCACTTCTTATTTTCATGGTGATTGATGCTCTTTAAGTATTGCTCATTTTGTCCCCACCTCCACCCCCCACCCCCCCAAAAAAAAGAACCAATAAATCAATAAATGCAACGTAGAATGTAGGGGTGGCTCAACGAATCTCGTGGCCTAGGGCGAAACCATATTGAGAGGCTCTTAAATTTATTTTATAAAATTTGTATACTAACAAAAAAAATCCTTTCTAAACAACAAATTAATCATTTAAGACAAAAAAGCAAATTTTAAAAATAAAATAAAATTAGAAGGTGGATTATCGGATGTTGAGGTCCGGAACTCAAAGTGAAATTTTTTATTTGGCTATCATCACAAACAAGAAAAAGAAATGAACGTACATAACGTAATAATTTAAGTATTGAGCATTGACAGTTTCAAAAATATTTATACCTTCTGATCAACTTAAACGATAATTGTAGTTCATTCTTTTAAGTAGCACTCATTGGTGAATATCTAAAATTAATTGTAAATAACCTAATATAATATGTTAAATTGCACTAAAAGAAAACCGATGCATGAATCCTTTTGTGTTCATGCGGTTTCAGAGAAGATTATAAAAGAACTTCTGATCAACTTAAACGATAATTGTAGTTCATTCTTTTAAGTAGCACTCATTGGTGAATATCTAAAATTAATTGTAAATAACCTAATATAATATGTTAAATTGCGCTAAAAGAAAACCGATGCATGAATCCTTTTGTGTTCATGCAGTTTCAGAGAAGATTGTAAAAGAAATTCATTATGTTGTCGATGTATATAACTTAATTCCTGTATAAAAAGGATAAAATTAAAGTTGAAGAGTAAAACAAATATACTAATTAATGCGTGAAGGAAATTATCATAATTTATGAACTTATTGGTATAAAATAACCTCAATCAAATAATGAATTTCTTGTACAATCTTCTCTGAAATTGCATGAACACAAAAGGATTCATGCATCGGTTTTCTTTTAATGCAATTTAACATATTATATTAGGTTATTTACAATTAATTTTAGATATTCACCAATAAGTGCTACTTAAAAGAATGAACTACAATTATCGTTTAAGTTGATCATAAGTTGAAGAGTAAAACAAATATACTAATTAATGCGTGAAGGAAATTATCATAATTTATGAACTTATTGGTATAAAATAACCTCAATCAAATAATGAATTTCTTGTACAATCTTCTCTGAAATTGCATGAACACAAAAGGATTCATGCATCGGTTTTCTTTTAATGCAATTTAACATATTATATTAGGTTATTTATAATTAATTTTAGATATTCACCAATAAGTGCTACTTAAAAGAATGAACTACAATTATTGTTTAAGTTGATCATAAGTTGAAGAGTAAAACAAATATACTAATTAATGCGTGAAGGAAATTATCATAATTTATGAACTTATTGGTATAAAATAACCTCAATCAAATAACAAAAATATATATACTCTTGCAATAATTTAAAGTAAATTTGGGGGGTCCTTCAAATTTTGGGGGCCTAAGGCAATAGCCTCACTGGCCTAGCCTTTGAGCTGCCCCTGATAGACTGCGTACATAAGACCCAATGTGGTCCGGCCTTTTCCTAGACCTCGCGCATAATGGGAGTCTAGTGCATCAGGTCACCCTTTTAACCAATAAATCAATAATAAGTTAATAACGAAATCCTAGTTGATAATGACTGATAATTCTGAGTAATTGCTTCTTTCTTTGCCACATAGCATATGACTTACTGCTTATCTTTGTTCAGGTTTAAACGTGAAGAAATCAAGATACAAGCATGGGAAAATCATCAACAAGCAAAGACAGAAGCCGAGATGAGGAAAAATGAGGTGATTGTCTTTTGCGTGATTATCATGCTTCTAGTTCAGCCATCTACACTATACATATTTCACTTCTGAAGCTCTGCACCAGGAGTACATGACTTCTATGTTTTCTGTTTAGACTTTACACGTTTTTATTTGTTTCTCTAATTTAGTACCCTGAAACCACAAGCCATAGTCCAAATTATTGAGTCTGGTGTAAAACCTGACTTTATTTCGTTATTTTATCTGGTGGTGCAATTTCAAATAAAAGGTACTCTCTCTGTTCCATTTTGATGTTGCATACTTTTTCAGTTTGTTCCAAAAAGAATGACACCAATTTATATTTAGAAACAATTCCCATTTTACCCTTGATGAGATGATTTATAACCACAAATATATACGAGTTGTTTTAGACTACATGTTTCAAAAGTCTTTCTTTCTTTCTTTCTTAAACTCCGTGCTCTGTCAAACACCATCACTTAAAATGGAACGGAGGTAGTATTATATTTTAAAAGATATGTCCAAACTGCTTGGAAAGTTATATTTGTTGTCGCAAACTAAGCATTTTGGCTTTCAGGTGGAGGTGGAAAAGATGAGGGCAGGAGCACAAGACAAGTTAATGAACAAGCTAGCTGCTGTGAGGCACAAAGCTGAAGAGAAACTGGCAGCAGCAGAAGCTAGGAGAAATAATCATGTTGTAAAAATAGAGAAGCAAGCAGAATATATTCGTAAAACTGGCCGCTTACCCCGCTCATTCTCCTTCTGCCGCTGGTGCTTCTGAAGCTACAAATCACTATTAAATGCTCTGTATATTTTTCCTTTTTTCAATAGCGTTGTATGCTTGAGCTCTTGCACAAACTCAACTGGTAGGCACATTACATGTAATTGTTGCTTAATGGAAGTTGAAGTTCAGGCATTATTGGCCACTTGTGATTTTACCTACAAATCATAAAAATGAAACAGTGTAGAGAGAAAGAATTCGTGCCACATTTTTGCTTGAGATTGAAGCACCTCTACTCTACACTACTGCCAAAAGCACCTCTACTCTACTCTATTTTCCAAATGATGGATTTTATTCATTTTTTCTTATATAAAAAATAATCTGCAATAGAGAAGTCAGTTTCCTTTCAGAAGCCTGTCGTGGCCATCAAGCTTATTAATTCGAATTTGTTGTCCACTCCAAAGCTACCTTGGTTATGCACAACTGAAAAGTTCTTTGTATGCCATTTTTGTTGACATTTCGACTACAGGTTAATTGTTTATAACCTTTTCATCTTTATGTTTGTGTGTCTAGGTCTCGTATAAATTTCTTACAATTTTATCCTCCTAGAGGGCTTGTCTATTTCCTTATTAAAAACAGAATAATGAGACTAAAGAGGCGAGGTTAGACTTCAATATTGGCAAACCAACTAGACCTGAAAGATCTTAGAGTAGGTTGAACTACTAAAGATGACCTGAAGAACTAATGTCCACTATCCAGGCTGAAGAATAAGTTCGCTAACAAGTCACTATTACTTTAATAGAGTAAAGACCAAAGTTGGGGAAGTGCACAGATAGCCACTCCTATTTAAGGCATAGCCGAAGTTGATAAATTTTTGTAAGCCTAGCCGTTTATATACGGGTCTGAAGTTAAGGTGTATATGACCTTTCCGTATAAGTTTAAGAGGCAACTCATGTATTTTCTCATTTATCAATACCAAACACTATTCATCATGCAAAAGAAATTCCACTAAGCTAACCTGATCAGGCAATTGCAAGGAGAGGATATAGCAAAGATACTTTCTGTTTAACACTCTAAAAGTTACAGTCATGACCCTTTTGGGCAAAACCTGAATGATAAAGCTGCCCCGAGCCACTAACTGGTGGAAAATTATCCATCCAGTCAGAGAATTTAAATAAATGAGAAAAAGTTTCTAATAGTACAAAGAGCAAGAAAAGAACTCTCTCTACTTCTAAACTCAAAACCAGTAGAGTTAAATTTGCTCATTAAAAAACCTAAAAGAGCTCACAGATGTATAGAAAATGAATGTCCCGACATTTATGAGGAAACAACACCCAACTTCTTTGCAAAGTCATCTCCATCATCATCATCATCCAGGTATTCGTCATCAAGGTCACCATTCTCACCTTCATCTAATGTGTAATCTTCACCCTCAACCGGCTCATAGTCATCATCGCCATCTACCTGATCATAGCCTTCGTCGTGGCCTTGAGCGTCTGCTCCTTCCACAATCATCTCTTCTTCAGCTTCAAGTTCATTTGCACTGCGGCGCAAAGGAGACTGGTGATCTGCAGCAAGCTTAGATTCTTCCTCCTGCTGAATAGAAAGGCCAGATCCATTTTTGATGATAGCAGACGGAAAATCCACCACATTCCCTGTAGTCATGGAAGTCATCACTGTCTGGCCTTTTCTTTCATGTTCATAGTCTTCGCTACCACCAGATGTCATACCAGCTCCACCCCCTCTTTTCCTCTTCAGAATCTCTTGCAGAGACATTGGTCCTTTAAATGATTGATCCTCCCCACTATCAAGCTTTTGGAACTTACGCTTCCCCAGGTGTTGTTGCTCGTTGAGATTTTGCTCATTGCTCTCCGCAGTTTTCCTAACTTTAAGTTCAACAAGACTTTTAGGACGCACAAAGTTGGAATTATTGTCATTTATTATATCTTTTCTTAGACGAGGACCTCTGTTATTTCTGTCACCATTACTGAGATCCTCTTGCACTCTTCCCTTTATTCTGTCTTGAAGCCTTCCTTGGTAAGAGGACAGCTGTGGCCTTTCTGAAGACAACCTACCACGATATCTTGCCCTATCCATTTCCCTATTCAACCGTAATTCAGCCCTGTCAGTCGGAGAAGATGACCTAACTGGAAGCTTTATTCTTCCTCGAAGGCGACCACTAAGAGAACTATCATGTGAAGGTACATAGTGTGCATCCCTCCTAGAACTCTTGTTGGCTCGATCCTCAACATTCTTTTCACTTGAAAAGTCATGACCAATGACAGATTTCAAACCATTACCTCTCCTATGCTTCGACAACCGATGTCTCAGATCTGACATTTTAACTTGTTCAGGTCTATCTACTGTACCATATCGTCTCCTTTCAAGATGAGCTGACCCCCCTGGTATTCTCTCAGAAGAAGCTATAGGCTGCTCCCAAGCATACCGACTCGGTAGCCTGTCATATGAGTCATATCCGCNTTTCAAGATGAGCTGACCCCCCTGGTATTCTCTCAGAAGAAGCTATAGGCTGCTCCCAAGCATAGCGACTCTGTAGCCTGTCATATGAGTCGTATCCATNTATCCGCGCCCATCACGGTACATATCTCGGTCAATATCTGCCACTGAATCATAATCAGCAGAATCGCCCATGTCATATTCATTTCTCCCCCCATTGCTCCTTGTTCCACCATACTGATCTTCCTCATGATAGTAATCTGAACCTCTTAGCTCATCGTCCACAAGAACATCAAAACCAGGAGAAGGCTCTCTTGAAATTTCATCATCCTTGTTCTGCATGCTGCTGTGATCATCAAGGCCAATGGGCTGCTGCACCCTGTTGGGGCCACTGAGCGAATTGCCATTGGTTGCAGGCATACTTGTTGGCTTGTACCTGGTATTCTCTCTGCTTATGACAGAATTTGGTGGCAGTACCTTCTCATCAAAGGTATTCTCTTTCTTAGTCAGATGATTTTCCAGTTTCCAAACTGGTTTAGGCAGTACACTGGGCTTCGGATGATTTGTTTGCGGAAGTTTCTTCCCTTGCACAGCATTTTGAATCCCACCAAATGCATTCTTAGCAATTGGTGTTTCACTAGATGCAGTAGACACTGGAGGTTGTAAAGGTTTGCTAGAAATGGAGTTCGGTGCATGCATGAATGCACAGTTATCACCTTTTGAACAAATCCCTCTCTGGAAGAATACGCAGGGCACGCCTTGTTTACTAGAAGCATAAGGAACCTGTGGCATAGGTGCAACAGACACCACTGGAGCTACAGAAGATCCTATAACAGTTGGAGCTTGAGCTTCCAAAAATCCATCAAGAGGCTGTAAGGAGGAGGTTAATAATGATCAATTGAATGATTAACTTGCCAAAATAGAGCAATATACATCTGCTAGTAAAAGTAGAAACTCTAAACGTACATGATAACAAGATACTTTGCGTATTTATAGCACAGAGATGATAAAAAGTCTAGAGCATGTTGAGAAAGAAATAGTAACTCACAGGATGCCGGAATGCACACTTCGGGTTTAAGCAGTTTCCGTGCAACCAGTACCAGCAATCCCTTGGATTAAGCCGAGCCATGTCACTATGGCGGTACTCACACTCGCTTCCCTGTTAACAAAATATTTAGTGCGTCAGCGGAAGTATAAATAGATCCATGGAGGCGAATTAATTAAATTAGAACATTATATAGCATGGAGAAATGCACATAAACGTATTCACACAAAAAGGGACACAGATCCATAATAAAGAAAGATGCTAAGGCATCTGTATAGCAATTGCTTTTTCCCAAACAGTTATCAAAAGAGAAATAAATGAGAAATAATTCAGTAATTGCAGTGTTGCATCGATTAACTTTGTCTTATATGATAAAAAGAATGAGGCATACTTGCAGCCGATAGATTCAATTGCAAAACTAACAATCCGACAAAGAAAATAAATTATGAAAAGAGAAATAATTCAGTAATTGCACGCGTTGCATCGATTAACTTTGTCTTATATGATAAAAAGAATGAGGCATACATGCAGCCGATAGATTCAATTGCAAAACTAACAATCCGACAAAGAAAATAAAGACAAATGTGATTGCCCGAATAAGATTATATGTGTTCCTGGAGGCATAAACCAACATTTATTGTCTGAATCCAAGTCACCAACTTTAAACTCGCTACAAGATTGTCTACATCCAGTTTGACAAAACCAACATAAAAGCCGCAGAAACAAAACAAATTTCGAAGACAAAACAATTAAGCTCTTCTAATCCAGACAACACAGCAGCAGAAATCAAAAAAGTTCCACAAGAAGTTCAATAATCCCAAGCGATAGATAGTTTTATAATCGCAGCCACACAAACATAGCAGAAATTTGAAACAAATATCCCAGCCCATAATATTTGTGGCAAATTATACATATATACCTCAAATCTTGTATTATGTAGATAAATCTCGACATAAAAATTTACTAAAATATTGCCAAGATTTTCTGACAAGAGGAATCTTTTAAGCTGTAATCTGACAGCCGCCAAATATAGGGTTTACTGATAATAAAAGCGGTAAAAAGAAATCATCTTAAAATTTTATAAAAGGAATAGAAAACACAATCTTTATCTCTTGCAACTCAGATCCTCAACTAGCAGCCACACACAATACTTCACGATTTTTTTTTAATACTTCACGATTTTTTTTTTATAAAGGCACCAAATTCAATAGAATTAACACTTGATCGAGAATTAAAGGTATGTAGAAGAACCAAAAGCCAAAGATTGGACCTTTTTGCAAGTGAGAGGAGAAGCGAGAAAATAGACACAATCGGTGTTTCTCTTGAGAGCTTCATCTTCAGCTGATGAAGGTGCCGGTGGCTGAGTTTGCAATTGCGGCAGCGGCGGCGTAGGGCCAACCATGGTGGCTTGGGTTTCTTGAATTGAACCCTAAAGAGATCCTACAAAAATCTTGAGGGGTGGATCTAGGGTTTCCGGAGGCGGCGCCGCTCCGGTATGTACACCAAATAATGCGTGTTTGTGTGTGTAATTAACGGCACATCTGTGATGTGAATGAATAATTTGCAGGGTTTGGGAGAGGAGAAGAAGATGAGGTAACGCTGTGTGAAGAGAAGAGAGGCTTTTTAATATCCAGGTGGACTGGACCTTCTTAATTGTTTTTTTCCCTTTCTCTGCCCCTATTTCCTTTTTTTGTTTCTATTTTTTGCTTCTTCTTGTGAATATGGAGTAGTAATTTCAACTTTCCTAAAAAGGTCGGGAAAAAAAAAGTTTTCTCTATA